GGTTGGGAGTCCGCACGAATATTACAGTGGGGGGCGACGTCAACTCTGACTTTGGACTTTCTCGAGATCGAGATGGGATCGTCCATCATTGTACTAGCATTAGTGTGGGCAGTCACCGACCCAGACTGGAAAACCAGAACGGTCTGGAGTTTAGGGAATTCTGCGAGCGCAACCACTTGCTCATAGCATCGACGAGCACCAGGGTTGACGACGCATTCTTTGGACCCACGGGAGGACAGAGCCTTATCGGCCACATAGCTTTCCCAGTCAACGCACGAGCCCAACTTAGTGCCTGCGTTGCACCCAGCAACGCAGGCAAGAGGTTACACACGATCAAGGCACGAGGCCACAGAGATCACCTACCAGTCGGGCTGGACCTGGACATCAGCCTCTATCATCATCGTCCCGTCAGAGACAGAGAGCCTCGGCCAGATAGGAGTGCATTCATGAAATGTTTGACGAAAGGGTACAAGCGCACGGAGCTATTTGAGAAGATTGACAGCAACATTGCTGAGATTGGCGAAGATACTTTTTCAGCAGGCACTCCAGCAAAAGTCTCCAGACGCATGCTGGGGGATCTTCGGACTATGTGTACGGCGCGCGCTACAGGACAAATTTCCAGAGCAGCCCTTGCACGTGGGCGAATTGTACGAGCACGTGCGTGAGTATCGCATGCATTTACTACACAAGAGGAGGGAGATGAGGGAGAAGTTAGTGGAGGAGATGGGAGAGGCGGAGTTCCAGGAGGTCTGCGAGGATTTGAAGGAGATCACGGCCTGTATGAAGCGCATTCGTACTCAGCATCTGAAGAGGAAACGGGCAGATTTAGCGGGTCAGATCTGGAACGCATATGTGGAGCAGCGTTATTCGGACATGCACAAGCTCAGAGTGATCTACCAGGGCAATGGGAGAGGTCCTAAACGTCGTTACTGCTACAGCCCCAGAACAAATTGGAACGCCCAAACCTGGGAGGAGGAGCTGGGGAAGGAGGCAAAGGAGGGAGGTTTGGCAGGGGTGCGTATCGACTGCGAGGCAGAGCTCAGTCATTATCGCTATCGTTGCGAGCAAGATTATGAGCTGGTGCACCCTGATGCTGATCTCCACCACCTGGTCAAACAAGACAGGCGGGCGATGCTACGCCACTGCAAGAGAGCGGCCGAGCGCCGCGCCTACCCCAGCTGGGGCCTTCCAACGGAAGCTGTCTGGCTTTTACTCCGGCCCACCGTCAATCTCGAATCCCCAAATAAGCTGAGCGAAATGATCGAGAGAAGGATGATAAGAGCAGCGGAAAGGACGGAGGAGGAGGAGGAGATGGAGAAGCTTACCACGGAGTACACGCACAGGGTGGGCAGGAGGCTGTTAGAGAAGATGGGGTGGAACAGGGGAGAGGGGCTTGGTGCCCGCCTACCTGGCGGTGCTGCGCGCGAGCCCGAGGCGCCGCCGGTGGGGGACCTCGGACAGTTCAGGGGGGAAGAGAGAGCGGGGCTGGGTGCTACTGCAGCGAGCGACATCACCTATGTCTTCGAGCGTGTATTACATGATTACTTAGTACATATACAACGTTGCCAAGCTATGCCCCTCAACAGCTACGGGCCCCTGAGCTTCTCGAGTGACAAAGCAAACGGCAAGCGCAACATTGGGGGAGAGCGCATTATGCATTGCCACGACCCATTCTCCATGGCTTGGCACTCGGGGATCCCTATTCGAGCCACAGGTGCACGGACACCTGCATGGGCTCATGGGGGCATTGCACATCGTAGCCGAGAGGGCATCATCACCACCATTATGTGCAACAAATGGAGAGCAGAGTGTAATGGTAAAAGTTTAGTCGTGAGCAATTACGACTGCACGAACGCTTTCGCGGCCACAGACAGACATCGTCTCGAAGTTCAGGCAGGGGAACGGGCCAGCCCAGGGGGCCCCCCCTTCGCCGTCGCCGCAGTCCGCCAGGCCACGATGCACATGCAAACGGCGGACGGGAATATTGCCATTCGATCAACTACTGGATCACAGATGGGCTTCACGACCGCCCCTCGGGATTTCATTAACACTTACAATAAGGAGGTGGAGGGATGGAGAGAGGGAGAGAGAGAGAGAGAGAGAGAGAGAGAGAGAGAGAGAGAGCACGGAGAGCATCGCTGGTTTCTTATTCGCGACCCCCGCGACCCCCACCAGCCCCTCATAGACAACCAGATCAGCGCATTCATGGGCGATATTACACAGAGCACTGTCATCGAGGAGGGAGCGACGGCGGCGGAAGTCACGCACATCTTGCATGAGAGCACAGCTAGACTAGAAGAATATCTGGCTAGAGGTAAGTGGACGCTCAACCCCAGCAAGACTAATCACCTGCTCGATCTTCGCGGGCGCGGTCATTATCAAACTACACGTAGACACGCTCTAAAGATCTCCATGGGCAGGCTTTGAGAGAGATGAGAGTGCTGGGCCCCCCGCCTCCCTAGCGAGCAGGTGATGTTGAGCGAGGTCCTCCGCCGATGTCAAGCAGCGCGGCAGGCATGGCGTCTGCGCGGGTGTTTCTGGGCGTCAGCTACAGCTAAATGTATTAGACGGGCAATGTTCCAGGCATTTGTAGTTGAAGCGGCACTTAGCGGTTTATCACCATTCGTCATCCCAGGCAAGTTCATCAACATCATAGACCAGACGCTTGGTAAGTTTCTGAGGGTGTTGTCTAAGGGAGAGATGAGCTGGGGGGCGGAGCAGGGGGAAATGAGATGCAGGACGACGAGGTTAGTATTGAAGTCGTGGAAGATACCCCGCAGTGCCAGACAGCTACGAGTCAGGCGCATCCGCAACTACTTAAGATGGGCCAGATATCCTGAAGACCACCATGCAGTTGTCTCGGCAGTCTTTGGAACAGCGTGGATTGACACTGTCCCCAGGCTCTCGCCTACTTGCAACATATGCGCCGACTCGACCCCTGGGCCAAACAGTATTTAGAGGATCTTGAGCTGTTAGCGTCAGTCGACCCTGAGTTTGCCGCGTGGTTCCGAGAGCGAAGCGACGACATCAGTCTACTACGGCAGGGCAGCATTGAGAACGAGTTTTCCTGAAAACAGACCCGTCGCATTTGAACGCCATCGAGAGGCACGGGGAGGTGGAGGGGGGGGGGCGCGGAGGGGGAGGGGGGGCAGACGGTGGAGCAGTGCGCAAAACCTTACTGGTGCGATCATATGAGGGAGGAGGAAGGGGGCAACATGGTCACCTGCGGGAAACGTTTTCAGAACCTAGCAGGGCTGATCGCACGCCGTCGAGAGGACATGGAGTCGCCCCCCTCTTGAGCAACATAATAGTCACCAACCAGTGCCCGCGGTGCAGAAGCTGTCTCGTGGACAGAAGCGGAGCTCTTGACCGCGGAAGACGGGCGGCCCTCAGATATGGCAAATGCTACATAGACAGATCTAAATGGAACCACGAACTTCAATTCCCAGGGGATCTTGCCTGCAGGGTCTGTAGCCTTTTGGCTCCAGATTTCGACAGCTTCCAGGGGCGCGTAAGGACGCACCTCCCAGGACCAGAGTCGGTGGTCGAGGCCGCCGCCGTCAACGAGAGCGAGATAGACGATGGCGTGGAAGGTGAAGCGGCCCGCTGGACCAGAACCAGAGGAGCAGCGAGAAAAGAAAGAGGCTCGGCAGCAGGAGGACAAGGGCGGCCTAAAGGGCAAGGGCGGCGGCAATCGCAAGAAGGACCAGGACGGCGTCGACATGAGAGAGGCGCAGGTCACGGTGCAGAAGCTGGTGATGAGGAACAGCCAGGAGAACATGACCTGGCGAACGGGGTTGTCGACTTCTGGCTAGCGCCAGGAGATTCAGCCTTGGTGCAGGCCGGGGCCGCCACAGGCCAGGACTACACTGCCAGGGTCAAGCGCCTCGGCAAAGGGCACGGTCAGGGCCCGCCGCATGTGATGTCGGTGGTGGAGAAGGCGGCGGACCTGCTGGACAAGAGCGACAAGTATCAGGCGGAGAGCAAGGGCATTCTCTCGGAGTGGGTGCAGGTGGCCAGCGGAGAGCACGGTCAGAGACTGGTGGACGCCACGTTCAGCCTTTTCCGCATCAAGAAGGCCTACCAGAGGGAGAGCGACATGCAGGAGATGTACAAAGTCATGTACGGCATCAGGCCGATGGCAGACTACAAGACGGCCTTGAGGCTCGACAAAGTGGCAGAGGTCGACATCATCACGCTACGCCAGCTCACGCCCCACATCCTCAGGGAGGCGCTGAACCACGCTTGGTCCCTGCAGAAGGGCGTGATGCCGATGGGCGCGGGGCCGAGAACAGAGCTGGAGAGGGTCGTGGAGGCCCAGCTGAAAGCGCTCATCAAGCAAGGGGCGATCACCAAGTACTGAGAAACCGATTTTCACAGACAGTGCGCGATATCGCGCACGACCCGAGGAGACAGCAGACACTCAGAGCTGTGGCGGCAGGAGGGAGCGAGCATGCCAAGAGACTCTTGACACAAATGAGAAAATACAGGCAGGAGCTCCACGATTTGCTGCAATATGACCATATATCATGTGACGCCACCCCTGGTGGCAACGGCGCGCCTCCGTGAGAGGCAGCTCGCGCCGCTCCCGATACTGAATATCTAGGGGGAGGCGGATTAGACTCAGGGGATCCTCCCCATTAGAGGGAAATCGCCCCGAGCCTTCGCACTCTCCCCCACTTTACCTCTACCCCCCGGGGATCCTCCCCGCCGACGGGGCATCACGCGCGGGCGGGCCTCGCCGTGTCGCCTCATGTTGTGGCGGCCTGCGCCCTGCAGGCAGCCCAGCCTCCATATAGAACGGAGGGGCCGCCCGAGCAGCTGCAGAGACAGACTGAGGGCCCCCAACTGAGCCACCACCACCACCTCCTCCTCGTCCTCCTCCTCCGAGGCGTGGGCTCCTCCTCCTCCTCCTCCTCCTCCTCCTCCTCCTCCTCCTCCTCCTCCTCCTCCTCCTCCTCCTCCTCCTCCCCCGCGCCGCCCCCCGCCCTCCCGACCAGGGCGGCCCCCGGGCGCATGGTTCCGCTGGCGCGCCTGGCCGCCGCGCTGCCGGTGGCCTGCGCGTGCCTTCTCGGGTGGGGGACCGGGGGGGCGGCGGTGCGGGGCTGCGGGGCGCGCCCGCGCCGCCGGAGCCCGGGCCAGCGGTCAGGGGAGGCGAAGGCACCGATGCCGCCATCTTTCCGCCGTCGCCACGGCTGCATCCGTCGTCGCCGTGGCTAGGTTTGTCTTTTGTCAGAACGCATGCGAGGAGAAGTCTACGGAGGTCGGTGTTTTTTTGTTTTCCCCCTCCGAGGCTCGGGCCCGAACTCCAGCCCGAGCGCGAGCTCGAGGCCCGAGCCTGAGCCCGAGCCCGGGCCAGAGCGAGCTTGGCGGCTGGTTGTGTCCTCGTTCGCCCAGGAGCTCGAGGTTCGGTGCTCGAGATGTTTGGACGGTTTCGTCGGCCCTCGCCGTCCGCCCCAGCTTCGGGGCGCTCTCCAGCAGCTGCGCCTCGCTGAGGGCGTGCGGTGGGTGTCGGGGTCCTCTCGAACGGCCGCCGGCCCGAAGAACTGGGCGGGAAGAGTGGGGATCGGGACAGTGGGGTGACGAAGTCAGTTGCATGCAACCGGTTTTGCACAGATCTATGCACACATATTGGCGCGTCCGGCGCCGTGAGGCGCCAGAGAAACCAGCTGCGTGAGCTGATTCGCTAAGCGGCTAGCCGCCCCTGTGGCTATCGACTTCCTTCATCTTACACAAAAGCGTCTTCGAGGAAGGACAAACTACATAAACGTATATGTTGAAGGGTCCGCATAGTTTTCTTGGATCTGCGCCGGCCCCCACAGGCCCCTGGCGGCGCCTCCAGCGCCGCCCCACCCCAGCGCCGATCGAAGATGCCCGCGCGGACCTTTGAATGTTTGTGAGTATGCTGTCCTTTTTTGCCATTATTATGGTTATTCCTCATATTATCATTATTATTCAATCGTTTCGCTCATTCCGCCGGCCCATATTGTTTGAGGGAGTTTCTGTGGAACTCACGTCATCCTTACCCCCGGCGCGCGGGAGAGTCGCTTCCGAACGCACCTCCAGAGACCATTTCCGGCGCTGCACCGGGCGCGCCGGGCGTGTCCCAACCCGGCGCCCTCGTTCGAGACATCCTTGCAAAATCGCCCCACGGGCCCCTGGCGCACTCCCACGGACCATTTCCGGCGCTGCACCGGGCGCGCCGGGCGTGTCCCGACCCGGCGCCTTCGCTCGAGACATCCTTGCAAAATCGCCACACGGGCCCCCAACGCACCCCCAGGACATCCTCGCAAAATCGCCACACGGGTTTCCAGCGCATGCGCCTCCAGGGATCATTCCTGGCGCTGCACCGGGCGCGCCGCGGGCGTGTCCCAACCCGACGCGCTCGCTCGAGACATCCTTGCAAAATCGCTACACGGGCCCCCAGCGCACCCCCACGGACCATTTCCGGCGCTGCGCCAGGCGCACCGGGCGCGCCAGGCGTGTCCCAACCCAGCGCCCTCGCTCGAGACATCCTTGCAAAATCGCCACGCGGCCCCCAGCGCACCGTACGGACCATTTCAGGCGCTGCACGGGGCGCGCCGGGCGTGTCCCAACGCAGCGCCCTCGCGAGACATCCTCGCAAAATCGCCACACGGCCCCCCCCCCCCACGGACCATTTCCGGCGCTGCACCAGGCGCACCCGGTGCGCCGGGCGTGTCCCGACCCAGCGCCCTCGCTCGAGACATCCTTGTAAAATCGCCACACGGGCCCCCAGCGCACCGCCAGGACCCCCAGGTGGTCCCGCCCGCCCGATCCTCACCCTCCCTGATGTTCATTCTCCTCATCCTTGCTCTCCCGATCCTCACCCGCCGCACCAACGCCACCCGCTCATACGAATCACCATCGTCATAGAGCACAGGCGCACGCGCCTTTTCTCTATATACAGAAACTCTCAATCAACCGAAGAGCGGCCAGCACTTGCTTGCGTGCTTGGGGGAGCATTTGGGGGGCCTCCCCTCCTGGGGCCGCTTGGGGGCCTCCTGAGGGCCTCGTGCGGGCATCTTAGGGCCTCTTGGGGGCCTCTAGGGGCCTCTTGGGAGCCTTTCGGGGGCCTCTTGGGCGCTCCTGGGGGCCTCTCGGGGCCGAGGGCTCCAAATATCCGTGCGGATCTCCCGTCTGGACCCCCTCTTGGAGCCGTCTTGGGGGCCTCTTGGACTGTCTTGAGGCCTCTTGGAGCTCCTTGGCGGCGTATTGGGGGCCCCTGGAGCCTCTTGGGAAGCTCGCGGGGGCGAGAGGAGGGGTGATCGATTGCGGCTCCCCCCTCGGAAGCCACGATCCTCGTGAGGGGTGTCGAAAAAATGCCCTCCCCTGGAGCTTTCTCGGGGACCTGGCTGGAGATCGCCCGGGGATCGGCCAGGGTACTTTTCGTCCGGGGACCCCCAGGGGCCGCCACGCGCGCGCGAAGTAGAATATTGTTAAACAATTGCAGGAGATCTTAGCACGCCTCTGGCAATTGGGCCGGCGAATTATGTGTCCGCGGCACGGTCGGTTCAGCTGCTTCGCAGATGGCCGCATTCGGTCGATTCGGTCCGACCAGCCGCTTGTACAGTCAAGACGCTGAAGTAAGGACCATTTTGGGTTCAGGAGGGGACCTGGTTTTCGGGCCAGCCCTCAGGTCCAGGTCGGGGAACCAATTCGTGGCCGAGGCTCGCCGTGGCCAGAAAAGCCCCTTCGTTCCACAGTCAGCGTTCCTCATGGTAGCATGATGACTGTAGGCTGTATTCGGCCTGCTGGTCCAGTCGGTCTCAGCTTTGCCGCCTCGTCGGCTTTTCGCTGCTGACCCCAAGAACACCGACGGCGCGGGTCGGTCTCTGCTTGGCCCGTCGTCGTCGACTACAAGTGTCGTCGCCGTCGTCGTCGTCGTTGTCGTCATCATCGTCGTCGTCTCGCCGTCGTCGTCGTCGTCGTTTTTCTGAAAGCTTCGGGGGGTCTCTAGAGGTCTTTGGACGTGTCTTATCGGCTGGCCCAGCCAGGCCAGCCCAGACTTGGAAGGCGCGGGAAATCCACAGGGAGAGACGCTCCGAAGAGGCTGGGTTGCTCTGGTTGACCCAACAGGGGTCCAGCTACAAGGGGGTGGTGCAATATATTCGGTGCGATCTATTTGTGGGGTTGCAGCCGATTCGGGGCGTGCAGTACGTTCTTGTGCACGAGTGTATTGCTGGGTTTTTACGTACAACACATTAGCTGCAACACAATGAAATACAATTCTCTTGCGCAATATAATTGCAATCTTAGCTGCTCTGATACGCACGTTTTGAAACGCAACGCTCGCCGTGTTCAAAACGTGCGTGTTCAAAACGTACGCGTTCAGTCTGCGTGTCGAGCTCCGTATCAATACGCTACGTGCTGCGTGTTGCGTATCGGGGCAGCTAAGTTCACCAGGCGACCTCGAGGAAGCCTGTCAGTGGACCCTCGTGCTTTGCACGGGATCTCCGCGGTTGACTCAGGCGGGCGGGAGTGAGCGAGGAGAGGACTGGACTGGGCCTTCGTCGAGGCAGCAGCGCCGCGTGCGCACACATCATGAGGCAGAGGGCGGGGTTTTCTTTTTTTTCTCCGCGAGCGGTGCCAGTGGTGCCCAGACATCCGACGTCGTGATCTTGTTCAAGGCATGGCTCCCCAGAGGTCCAGACCCCTTCCTGGGGACCGGCGCTTTGTGTCGAATCGTCTTTGACAGGCCTCAGGCCCACTCAGGGGCCGCGGAGGCTGAACAAAAATCATACCAATCAAGCGGCGCAAGAGTACGGGGTCGTCTGCGCCGACGCTGGCGCGCAAGCTGCTCGCGTCAGGCCGCGCGTGGGCGCCCTCGTCTCCAGTGCAGCGCACCGCGCCTGCGGCCCGCGTGAGCCGCCGCGTGAGGTCGCTGCGTCACCCAGTGGTCAGTCGTGATTTTCTCGGGGACGCACTCGGGCGGGGCCGGCGCAGACCCGGGGCGGCCACGTGCCCCTGTCTCGGAGCCCGGCCGGCCGCGGGGCTGCCCCCAGGGCCCCGGGGGCCCTGGGCCAGCGGAGGGCAGAACCGGGGGGGGGAAGCGGCCCCACGCGGCTCCCAAGCCCGGGTCCGCCAGAGGGGGGGGGGCTAGCCCCCATTCGCCTTAGGATGTTCCAGCCTCTTTTAGCCTCGATCGCCAGAAAGAATGGCGGGCACCGGGGAAGTACCGAGACTCGAGGGTTTTCACGTGTCGGGCCCTGGGAGACACTGCTTCGACACTCTTTCGACACTCTTTCGACTCTTCTCCGGGTGCTCGAAATTATTTCCTTGGATGTGGTCCTTAAGTACGATGGGAGCAACATTACATTAGCCGGGACGGTCGAAGTGGATACCGAAATGATGGGCACGATGCCCAACAGCAGTTCCCGTTGAGTTTTTGGACCAGGCTCGCGGTTCGCGCCGCCGCGGGCGTCATGCTGCGAAGACAAGAGGCCGCCTGTCCAGCAGCGGCCGCTATCGGTTTGTGACAACGTTTTTTGTTTAGCATTGCGTCCATGTTTTACGTATCCACTTCGGGCGTCCAACGTTAGTGCTGGCCCCGCTCGACACGGGTCGCGATTTGTGTTCACGACGCGAGGGGAAGGCAGCGTGTGCGCGGCCCCCCTCCAAACTGCAGAGGGATCCGACGCGAGCGCGGGTGGCTGCGGCGCTTCGACCGTCCAGGTTCGTCGGAGGTGCATGCGGTGCTCCCCATTCCTTCTCCTCCTCCTTCCCTTCCTCCTCCTCCTCCTCCTCCTCCTCCTCCTCCTCCTCCTCCTCCTCCCCCTCCTCCCCTTCCTCGTCCTCCTCCTCCGTTTCCTCCTCCTCCTCCTCCTCCTCCTCCTCCTCCTCCTCTGGTCATCCTCCTCCTCCCCGTCCTCCTCCCCCTCCTCCTCCTTTTTCTCATCATTCTCCTCCTCTCTCCTCCTCCTCCTCCTTCTCCTCCTCCTTATCCGCCTCCTCTTCCTCCCTCATCATCATCCGCCTTGCCCTCGTTCTCGTCCACATCCTGATGCTGATCAGTCGTCGTGCTGCTAACCCTTTCTTTGCCCTCCAATACTTGATGGCGGTAAGCCGTCAACCTA